TACCAGAATTTCTGAAACGCCCGTATGTAGAGCGGGGACTGGACGTTCAAGCACCCAAATGCCTTGCTCGCGTCGGGTGCATCACGGGTACGTTGGGCATTCCTTTTGCTTTTCAGGCACATCACGCTTCCTTGTGTGCTATCCCGAGTGGACTGCCTCTCTCTCCTCACCCCAGCTCGCCTTCGAGTAGCTGTCACTCCCACTTCACGGATGGTGCGGCCAGTGTCCCAGCAAAGAGGCCACTTGCTTAACTTGTCCAGGACAGCGATGGACGGACGAGCATCCCAACCAGACCCATGGACTCCCAGGTATACGTTCCTTCTGCCTGTGGTTTGTTAATATCGAGAGGTGGGTGGGCAGGACTCAGATCACCAGGGCGTTTTCAATAATGAGGTCTTTCCCTGGTCCTAGAGGCCATGTTTTTGGTTAATCTTTCCCCCCAGCTTTAGTGACAGATCATCAGCGTGTATAACACCGTGTAAGTTTAAGGTGCCCGACGTGTTGATTTTGTTTTTTTTTTTATTTATTTTTTTTTAATTTTTTTTTCAACGTTTATTTATTTTTGGGACAGAGAGAGACAGAGCATGAACGGGGGAGGGGCAGAGAGAGAGGGAGACACAGAATCGGAAACAGGCTCCAGGCTCTGAGCCATTAGCCCAGAGCCTGACGCGGGGCTCGAACTCACGGACCGCGAGATCGTGACCTGGCTGAAGTCGGACGCTCAACCGACTGCGCCACCCAGGCGCCCCACGACGTGTTGATTTTGATGCACTTGTATCTTGCACGATGGTTACCGCAGTAACGTTAGGTAACACCTCCAGCATGCACATAATTACTGTTTCTTTTTAGTGGTGAGCGCCTTCAAGACCTATGCTGTTGGCAACTTTCAAATATATAATACAGTATTATTCACTGTAATCACCGTGCTGTGCATTAGATTCCCTAGGTCGGTCTTACTCGTCTTCTAACTGGAAGTTTGTAATCTTTTGACTGACAGCACCCCATTCCCCCCACCCCCTTTCCCCCGTAACCGTCTCTCTGTTTCTGGGAGTTTGGCTTTTTTTAGATTCCACATAGAAGTGAGATCTTACGGCACTTGTCTTTCTCTGTCTGGCTTATTTCACTTAGCACACCGCCCTCAAGGTCTATTCACATGTTGTCACAAGCGGTGGGGTTTTTTTTGATTATTTCAAAGAGCACATCTCAGTTTGATATGGGCCGGTCCTGAGCCGCCCCGGGAGACCTGCTAGTCTCCCTTCTTATCTGCGAGAGCTGTCTCCACGCCTCCCGCAGGCGAGGAGATCTGGCTAGAGTGGTTTTAAAGCTGATTTCTCAGGTTCTCGGCACTGCTGACATTGGGGGAACAGATCATTTTCCCTGGCGGGGGCTGTTGTGTGCATTCTATCTAGGGTGCAGAGCGACGTCCCTCGTCTCTACCCACCGGGCACCAGCAGCCCCCACCTCCCCCCCGGCCCTGACAACCAAAATGTCTCCAGGCATTGCAAGTGTCTCCTGAGAAGCAGAATATTCCCCAGTTGAGAACTGCTTGTTTAAGCGGTACACCCAGCGCCCGGACCTCTTTGGAGGCGACAGTGAGCGCAGGATGAGGTGGGGGTTCCACTCAGTGTTTGTCCTTCTGGCCTGACCAGCCAGGACCGGCAGGGCTCCCAGCCCCTGACAGTTTCCCTCTGCACACCTGGGCCCAGGCTCAACCTTCACGGAGCCCCAGGGGACCTAGGTGTTCCAGAGGCTGGCTGGTCCCCAGGTCCCCATGCTGGGCTCCAGGAAACCATAGTTGCTGTGGTGACTGCTGAGCTCTTGGGGTGAGGAACCAGCTGGTTGAGGGGCAAAAGATTCCAGTGCCTGGAGCAGCCAACCACATCCAGGGGCCGCCGTCTCCCCATTAGTGCTTGCAGACTGAGCAGAGGCGGCTTCAGCTCCCCAGGGGGGCCGGAGGGGACGGGGGGGGGGCTGCGGGGCGCTGAGGGGGTGAGACCGATACCCCACTCCAGATGGCCCTGCCCGGCTGTCCTCCCAAGAAGGCCACCTGGCCTCTGGCTTGAGGTCTCTGAATCCCAGGCCCTTCCCTGGGGAAGGGTCATCCAGGCAGACAAGCAGCATGAGCGTGGGTCCCCTCAGCCCGGGCACCCGCCGGCGGCTTCTCCAGGGTCTGGCAGGCCCCCTCCCGGCGCCTCGGTCTAGCAGTGTGGCCGTCTTCATCAGCGCCGCGATCTCAGGTAAGGGGCCGGGAAAGGCTGGGGGGGCTAGAGGCAAGCAGGTACTCTTGGGGAGGGGCGAGGTGGCCAGGGCCTGGCTCGAGGGCTCCTCTAGGAGACCTGGATAAGAATGCAGCCTGGCCAGCGGCCCACGTGGGAACCAATGAGAAGGAGCCTCCTAGACCCTCTGTTTCCTCCTCGATAATCCAGGCTGAGACCCTGACTTGATAGGCTTGCTCCGAGTGCCAAATCCTATTGCAGCTAACATTTATGATGAAGGTACGACGCGCCAGGCTTCAAAAGCGTAAGAGGGGCGCCTGGGTGGCTCAGTCGGCTAAGCGTCCGACTTCGGCTCCGGTCACGATCTCGCGGTTCGAGGGTTCGAGCCCCGCGTCGGGCTCTGCGCGGACAGCTCCGAGCCTGGAGCCTGCTTTGGAGTCTGGGTCTCCCTCGCTCTCTGCCCCTCCCCCGTGTGTGCTCTGTGTCTCTCTCTCTCTCTCTCGAAAATAAACAAGCATTAAAAATATTAGAAAAAAATTTGAAAGTATAAGAGCCTTGCCACCGCCCCCAAGACTTGCATGACCCGACTCTCCTCACCTCCCGTCTTGATCTTATATGGCCCTTCCCCACATCCGCATGCTGTAGTCACGCTGGGCTCCAACGGGTCTTGGAACCCTTGAAGCCCCAGGCCCCATAAACCGGAGTCATTTCCGTGCTTATTTAACGGGTGGCTTCCCTAAGCAGAGCCGCGAGCTCTGTGGGGGCAAAGACTACGTAAAGTAGTGTGTTGGCAAATATTTAATAGCCCGTGCCCCCCCACATCTAAACAAGACAACATGAAACGAAAAGCACCACCGATTTGTGCTGTCCGCCAATTTCCATTGTGTGACTCCTCCCGCCGGGTCAATTTCCAGCCGCCGCCGTGACTTCTATGAACGCTGAGTCAGGCAGAGATGTGGCGGTCATTCGCCGTTCTCTAAGATTTCCCCGATACAAAATCAATAGCCAGGACCAAATGCAAGAACAGAGCTCACAGGCAAATGCCAAAAAATAATTAGGAAGTTCGTTAAGCGCCTGACCCCTGATTTCAGCTCAGGTCATGACCTCACGGCTCGTGCGTTCCAGCCCTGCGTCGGGCTCTGCGCTGAGCGGGTGCAGAGCCTGCTTGGGATTCTCTCTCTCTCTCTCTCTCTCTCTCTCTCTCTCTGCCCCCTCCCCCGCTTGCTCTCTATCTCCCCTTCAAAATAAATAAAAATAAACTTAAAAATTAGGAAGGGATGAGTTTTGAGGATTTGCCGTCTCTGCTCTTTTCATCGTAAGTTTAGATCATTGGATTTTTCATGATGGCCACGTTAACGACTGGTTTACAAAGATTCCTGGAGATTTTAGCAGTCGCCCCCCGCACCACCCCCCCCCCCCCCCCAGCCAGTAGGACTGCATCATCCATGTATGTCTTGCTTGTCACTGTGCCCTGGATGCTTAGCAAGGCTCTAAGCAGAAAGCAACTTCCTAATAAATCCTCCGTGGGCAGATGTAAATGACCCGTGGAAAGGATTAGACAGGCACAGGAAGGGCATGGGGTAGGACGCAGATCCAAGGCTGACACCCAGGGATTGGGCAACCTCTTCATGCCAGTGGCTTTGGGAGCCCTTCCCTGAACACTCCAATGACCTCCCCCTGACCAGGTGGAGAGGACCAATGTTTCTTCAACATGTCTCGCACAAGGTGCTTTTACTTGTAAGATTCAATAGCTCGACCAACGCCTACTAAGCACTTGGGTCGAGTGCTAAGAAACCAGCCATGAGCAAGATGAGCAGAGGCGCTTGACTTTGGGCAGCTCGCAGCCTTGCAAGGTAGAAGCATCACCCCCGTTTTACAGAGCGGGAAACTGAGGATGGCCTGCCCCTTGGCATCAGACCGCACAGTGAAGTCAGGGGCACCGAAAGGTCTCAGGGTCCAGGTTTTACCCTCGGTAGGGCTGCCGGAGTCTAGCAAAAGTGAAAAACCAGGACACCAGTGAAATGTGCATTTCAGATACACCGTGAATAATCCTCCAGCGTAGGTATTTCCCAAATAGTGCGTGACATGGGACAGACTTGGGCTAACAGATTATTCGTTGTGTATCTGAAATGCAGATTCGACTGGGTTTATCCCATGTGTACCTGTACCAAACAGTGCAAGGAACAAGATATACTTGAGCTATTAAGTTTTTCACGGTTTACTGAAGCACAAATTCAGCTGGGCATCCTGTATTTTATCTGGCGACCCCAGGCTAGGGGGGCCAATCATTCTGGTTAGCGGAGACGGAGGGGTTTCCTGGGATGTGGGATTTTTAGCACTAAGACCAGGAAAGTCCCTCTTTGGTTTGCCTCATGTCTATTATTATTATTTTTTAGTGTTTCTTTATTTATTTTCAGAGAGAGAGACAGAGAGGGAGAGAGAGCATGAACCGAGGAGGGGCGGAGAGAGATTGGGAGACAGAGAATCCCTCCCAGAGAGGGAGACAGGCTCCGCACTGTCAGCACCCAGGGCCGGACGCAGGGCTTGAACTCACGAACTACGAGATCATGACCTGAGCCAGAACCAAGAGTCGGCCGCGTAACCGACTGAGCCACCCAGGCGCCCCTGCCTCGCGCATTTTTGTATCTTTTAATTTGCCCTGTGGGGCCCCAGCCTTAGTGGGGGCAAACGAGGCTGAAAGCACAGCCGTGGGGCAAGAAAGGGTCCTCCAACTGATGTCCTCTGTGCTCTTCCTTGAAGATATGGACGCCGAGAGAGAAGCCCTACAGAGCACCGCCTACCCCAAAGTGCAGAACTTCTGCCAAAAGCACGGTCTGATGTTCGAGGTAATTGCCCCCTCCCTGCCTCGGTTTCCCCTGCCCTGAAATTAGGGAACAGAGCTGTGCCACCCAGGCTGCCACATAGGACCTTTTGCTCCAGGGAGCTCCACGCCGGTGATGCACCCCGTGGCAGCGGAAGTCCTCTAAACAGGCAGGGGGAGGGATTGTAGCCACAGGCACCGTGGTTAGAGCAGGAGGAATGGCAGTGCCCTGGGACCCTGCTCCCTGGGCATGTCCCTTTACTGCCTTTTGTTGTCGGTCTGCCCTGCCCTCCTGGCCCTCCCTGCGCTGGCACAGCTTCAGGGGGAGTCTAAGAAGACCGTGGGGTGTTTGGGGGGCACACGGGAGTGGGCTGGGCCTTTTTCGGAAGCAATAATGGTGTGCCTGCCAGGCACGGTCACCGCAGACCCCAAACAGAGTCCCCTATGACTCTTAGCACCAATCCGGGGGTGGGAACGTTGCTACTCACATGTTACCAACAGAGCGTCTTTGGAGTTGACACTGACTCCTTGCCATTTGTGACAGCGATCCGTCACATCAAAGGCCCTCTCGATTATAAGACACACCGTGGTTTATATGTCACTAAGAAAGAAACGGTGCTGGGACTCTGCCTGGCATGGATCATGAGACACAGCTCAATGGCAGAGGCTCTAAAAAGGAAAACACACACGCTGAGAACTGATGAAGGGCCTTTCATGTCCAGGCAGGTGCTGTGTGACAAACGCTGTAAACAGCGTCGATGCCGGGGTGGGAGACAGCGGCCCGCAGCGCCAAAGGCTCTTGCCCAAGCCCCCCTCTGCATTCAGCCACATTCGACACTAGCGTCCTTTTATCCTCATGTTCCAGTTCGTTAGGGATTTCTGCGTCTTTCCCTCTGGCCAAAAGAAGTTAGGGAGGGAGGGACATTCTGAGTCCAATTCCCCGCCCCCCCTGCCTCCCTATCGCAGCCTTCTGCCGGCTCGGCTTTGCTACCCGAATTGAACCACTCCCCCCGGCCCCCCTCAGGCAAGCAGGCAAAAGTGGACCTCAAGCGTGCGGTTGCTAGGGAGATCCTGCCAAGTCCGACGTCGGCCAAACTAAATACCCTTCGTTGCAAAGAAAGTTCTGAGAACAAGTGTGGACATGTCCTCATGACTGGCCGGCCATCCTGCCGGATGCCCCCCCATCTGGGTCTGTCTGATGTCTTTCTCCTGGTTACACTGGGGTTACGGGCTTCATTCAAGTTCTTTCAATTCGTACATCCCCCTTTGGGGTGAGACTGTCAAAAATTATTGAAAGAAACTTTATGCCTTTGTCAAAGGGAATTGAAAAAAAAAACCTCACCCACTCTGCCACCTCCCTGACAAACCCACCCTTGTATCTCCAGGTTGTCGATCTGAGGTGGGGTATTCGGAACACTGAGGCCACTGAGCACATGACCACAGAACTCTGCTTGGAGGAACTCGACCGGTGTCGGAAAACATCCATAGGGCCGGCTTTTGTTGTGAGTCTCTTGGGAGGGATGGGTTGGTGCTTACTTCTCATTCCAGCACCGGTATGTGGCCCCTGCTCACTAGCCAAACCCATCAGTGAAGGAGAGATGGTATTTCTGCTCTAGTACCCAATTTCCATAGCCTGCCCATGGCAGACATTGCTAATCGATCACAGTGCTCATCTTCCACAGAGCTAGCTGGGATGCAGACATTAGCAGCCAAGTGGAAGCAGCAGGTGAGTGGGAGAGCAGAGGGTTGGAGCCCAGAAGAACCTTGGGATTTGCTCTGGACCTTCCCCCCAGCTTTCCCAACTCATGCACTTTTGTGTGTGGAATCTGGGGATCCTGGAAAACCATACAGAGGATGGAAACCCACAGGATGTCGGGAATTTTTTTCTCCTCTGTGCCTCATGGTGTTGGGAATGGCCTCTGGGGCGCCATCTAGAGCCTGCCTCTGGGAAAACTTCTTCCCATGCCAGGTGGGGTCAATTTTTCCATGTTCCAGGGAATTTTCTCTCTACCCATCCCAACAGCACCCTCTCTGTCACTGAAATAAACCCCAGCTCACGATTAGTGGTTTAGGCTACAATCGGCAAATGTTATTCCACGGTCCTGATTTATCACACCAGCACGTTCCAGATACATTAAATATGACATTTGAGCTCTCAAATCCTAGAGCAGGGGTCGGCCAACTACAGCCTAGGGGGCAAATCCGGCCCATTGCCTGCTTTTGTAAATAAAACTTTATTGGCGCTCAGCCACACTCCTTCATTTGCGTAGCATCCAGGGCCGTTTTCCAGCTACGAACAGAGAGCTGAATACTTGTGACAGAGGCCACCTGGTCTGCAAAGCTGAAAAGATTGACTATCTGACCCCTTACAGAAAAAGTTTGTTGACCTCTGTCCTAAAAGGTAAAGAGGGAAAAAGTCTTGCCCGAGACATCTTAGTCACAAAGAAGCTTTGAACAATTCCAAATAAAAAGAAAAATCCTCTGGAACCTCTCCTGGAGATAAAGTAGAATGTAGGAGAGGGTGGTCCCCATTATTAAAGCTGTTTTCTGGGGGCGCCTGGGTGGCTCAGTCAGTTAAGCAGCTGACTCTTGATCTCAGCTCAGGTCTTGATCTCAGGGTTGTGAGCTCAAACCTTACGTTGGGCTCCATGTGAGCCTACTTAAGAAAAATAATTAAATACAATGAAATAAAAACTGTTTTCTAGGGAAATAAAGAGAAATGTATGAGAGCTGCTTGGCTTTAGAATGGCACTGTCTAGGGCGGTAACCATGATCCACGTGCCGCAAACTTTAAGGTGAAGAAATTAAAATTGGGGCACCTGGGTGCCTCAGTGGGTTAGGCGTCCGACTTCGGCCCCAAGCATGATCTCACAGTTCATGAGTTCGAGTCCCGCGTCAGGTTCTGTGCTGATAGCTCAGAGCCTGGAGTCTGCTTCGGATTCTGTGTCTCCTACTCTCTCTGCCCCTCCCCCACTCTCTCTCTCTCTCTCTCTCTCTCTCTCTCTCTCTCAAAAATAAATATTCAAAAAAAAAATTAAAATTGAGTTGAATTAAAATTTCAGTCCCTCAGTCCCACTGGCCACGTTGCAGTGGCTTAGTAGCCAGATGGGGTGGCTGGCCACCATATTGGACAACACAGAGGAGCATACTTCCAACATTGCTGGAGTTTCTAGCGTTGCCTTAGGGATTCGATCTCCCTAAAAGAAACTAAGTAAGACCTGGCCGACACATATGAGAAGCTTTCTTTATTATGTGTTAAGTTTCATGTGGATGGTCCGGCTTGCATTTTCAATCTTTTGCTCTATACCTTTCCTTGTATGTTGGTTCTGCTTTTTTTTTTTCTTCTCCTGTTTTATTGAGATATTTTCTGCCATCCAGCATTGTGTAAGTTTCAGACGTACAGCGTTAATGACTTGACTTACACAAATTGTAAAATGATGACCATAAGTTTAATTAATATCCATCATCTTATATAGATACAAAAAAAAAGAAAAAAATGGTTTATTTATCCTTGTGATGAGAACTTGTAGGATCTACTCTCTTAGCAACTTTCTTTTTTTTTCAATTTTTTAAATAAAAGTTTTTTTAATGTTTATTTTTGAGAGAGAGAGAGAGAGAATGAGTGTGGGGAAGGGGCAGAGAGAGGGGGAGACAGAATCTGAAGCAGGCTCCAGGCTCTGGGCTGTCGGCACAGAGCTTTCGGCTGAGCTCAAACTCCACGAAACCGCCGAGTATGACACCTGAGCAGGGGAAATTCGGCAACGAGCTGAGCCAGCCGGGCAGCCCTCTGCGAATTCAAAACACAATGCCCAGTGTTAAGTATGGTCCTCAGGCTATTCATTGCATCCTTGCTACTTGTTTACCTTATAAGCGGAAGTCTGTGCCCTTCGGGTCCCGATGCTTTAATTATCGTTGCTTAAAATGCATCCTAGTGTTTGGAGGCCTCTACCTTCCGTCTTCATACATTCCCCACCCTCCACCAATCTTCCAATTTCATTTTCCAAATGAGCCTGATGATTGATCATTTTGTGGCATTTCAAAAAAAAAAAGAAAGAGCAGCCTGGGTGGCATGTGGGTTCAGGCGTCCGACACCAGCCAGGTCCGCGATCTGCCCAGTCCGTGAAGTTGAGCCGCCAGCGTCCGGACTCTCTGGGCTGTGGAGCCTGGAGCTACTATCGTCTGTGTCTCCCTCTCTCTCCCCTCCCCGTTCAGCTACTGCTCTCTCTATCCCAAAAATAAATAAGCGTTGAAAAAAAAAAATTAAAAAAAAGAAAAGAAAACTTTTTTTTTTTTCTAAAGAGAAATGGGCGATGGGGGCAAAAAGAACTCCAGGAGGAATTCGATTTTGCAACCCCAGGTGCCGGCAGTAAAAGCACAACGCAGCTTCCAGGTGGCATGGGGGACGGGATGATGATCCCTGAGCTTTCCCCAGGCCCAACCGGCCTAGGGACCTTGCTCGTCCTTCCAGAAGGGATCCTTGGGCCGCCGGGGTGACCTCTACCCACTTCCGGCTTTCCTCCCAAACCGAGCATCTCCCCTCTGTCACCCAAGGGTCACGGCATCCTTCTCCTTCAGTGGCTTCGCATGGGGGTCTTCCCGTGGAGATCAGGGCTGCACCAGGGGCCCTTGGAGAGGTGTCTCTCTAGCAAATAAGTCATTAGGCAGCACGAATAGCAGGAGTCAACTCCCCGTGGTACTTGCTTTAGAGGCTTAGTTCTCCTGGGCCACCAGCAGCTCCAGCACAGCAGCTCCGGAGAGCTGCTCCTGGTAGGTCCTGGCCTTTTTCCTTCAAGCTCTTCCTGTTCTGACTCTGGTCCCTCAGGCAGGAGAATTTTCCACCCTCTGCCTCCTTCCTAGGATCGGTGGTTTGTGGCTGGCCGGCGTCTCCAACTTCCCTCACTGCTCCAAGGCTGGCACTGCGGGAAAGTCCCCTGGAGAGTGGGCTCCTGTTCAACCTCCCTGCATCACAGACTCCATTTATCCAGGTTTCCTGGGTGCACATGCCTGGGATATTCTGGTACAACTCAGTGAAGAGGGGAGGGGTGATTGCTTCCATTTTATGATGAGGAAACTCAAGACTTGAGGCTCGAGGTCCTAGACCTCCTCTAGCCTAATTCTCTAGCATTGCAGTTTGCACCTTCTGTTGGGGCAGAAAGAGGGGCTCCTGGGGTTCTCAGCATTCGGACCAAAGTCTTAGGGCCACATCACTCCCCACAAAATCTTGCTCACGGGGATGGCCTTATGTTTTACCACTGCCCCTCTTTGTTGGTATTTCAAGTACCTCCCCAACCCCAGCTTTCCTTCTCTGGGCTCTTTGCCACACTTCCTGCCACAGGGCCTTTGCACATGCTGTTCCCTCTGGTTGCAAGGGGCTCTGCCCAGCGCACTCTTCCTTGTGTCTTGTTCTGCAGCTCAATCCTTAATTCTAAATAAAGACAGGATCCACCCTGCACGCTTGAGACCCATCTGCCCCCAGGACCACATCATAGCATGAGATTTTGGGCAGGGCCAACGGAGATCTTAGCTTTTGTCACGGCTCTATTTCTGGGGCAAGCCAGGGTCAACCTATAAGAAGCTGTAGTTTTCTCTCCCTCTGCCTGTCTCTTATAAGGACTCCTGGAATCGTACTTGGGGCCCCGGTAATCCAGGAAAATCTCCCCAGCTCAAAATCCTTAACTTACTCACATCTACCAAGCCCTTTGTGTTCGCCATCGTCCTCCAGACAAATGGAACCCATAGGATATAGACAGATACACATAAGAGATTTATTAGAAGAACTGGCTCACGCTGCCGTGGAGGCCAAGAAGTCCCGCCATCTGCCATTTGCAAGCTGGCGAACCAGAAAAGCAGGCGGCGTAATTCAGTTGTCGGCCCGCGGCCTGAGAATCAGGGGGCTGAAGATTCCAAGTCCTGATCTGAGTCCAAACGCATGGGAACCAATGTCTACGGGCAGGGGAAGAAGGATGTCTCAGCTCAGGCAGAGAGAGGGAAACCTTTCCTCCTTTTTTTTTTTTTTTGGTCATATTTGGGCCCTTGGTGGACGGGATGAGGTGTTGGGGACGGCCATCTGTTTCACCCGTTTCACCAATTCAGTCTCCTCCAGAGACACCACCCCGGACACACTCAGAAATCGTATTTGACCAGCTATCTGGGTATCCCTTAGCCCAGTCAAACTGACACCTGAAATTAACCACCACAGCCCTTTTCCATACAAGGTGCATTCACGGGGTCCAGGGATTAGGGTTGGATATCTTTGGGGGCCATTGTTTAGCTTCCACAGAGGGTTTTCTTTCTTTTTTAATGTTTATTCATTAATTTTGAAAGAGGGAGAAAGAGTGTGTGAGCGGGAGAGAGGCAGAGACAGAGGGAGCGAGAGAGAGAATCGCAAGCAGCCTCCATGCTGTCAGTGCAGAGCCTGACACGGGGCTCGGTCCCACAAACCGTGAGATCACGACCTGAGCCGAAATCAAGAGTCGGGTGCTTAACCGACTGAGCCACCCGGGCACCCCCCACAGAGGGTTTTCCAGGCAAAAGATTCCATGATGGCTGACACGGGATCAGATTCAAAATTTACCTGCTGGATGTCCCACGTCTCAGGTACCTTCACGTGCAGGTGCTCTAAGGCTCTGCCTGCACCTCTTACTGGACTTATCGCCCTGGCACCACAGCCAGGCCCATCTTGGGGGGGCTCAGTGTGTCTCACCCAGGGCCACCGAGCTAAGTGCCCATGCCGAGGGTTGAACGCGTGCCCCTCTCTCTGCCAGGCCCTTCTCGGTGACCAGTACGGCCCCTGTCCAGTCCCCACGCTGATCGAGGAGAAGGAGTGGGAGGCTCTGAGGGCCCAGCTGACCTCCAAGCCACGCGACCTGGAGTTGGTAGCTCAACACTTCCGGAGGGACGAGAACGCCGTGCCCCCCACCTACCTGCTGAAGGCCCTGGGCACCTCGGAGGGCTGTGGGCCCGAAGAGGCCACGCTGACCTCAGTGCTACGCTCTGGAGCCCAGGAGGCCCGGAGGCTGGGCCTCATCACCCAGGAGCAGTGGCATCGTTATCACTGGTCAGGTGAGGCCACTGGGACGCCCCCTCAGGGTCCACAGGAGATGCCCCATGTTCAAATGCACTTATTGCATACTGTCCCAACACCACAGCCTGTAAATGTCAAACCAGCCTGACTCCTGGATCCCTGGTTCTGGAAGGGGTTATTTGACTGATCCAAGAGTGCAGCCATGTTCTGGTTAATCCTCTGCCTCTTAGGACCCTCCTTCCTTCTCCTCCTCCAGCTCCTTCTCCCAGGGAGGCTCCTGGCCCCGGGGGAAGGCTTCTGAAATGACTTGCTATCCTGGTCTGTCCGAGACTTTCAGGGCTGAACCCAGATAGTCCTGGAAGATGTGAAACTGTGGATCACCTAATTTTAGCCCAACAGCCAGCCCCTGCTGGGGAGACTGGGTCCTCCAGCCCCCCTACGCCTGCCTCAGAGCTAGAAACCGAGGCACAGGAAGGGGTCTCCTTTGCCTGAGGTGGGGGATAGGGATTTGACGTGAGTCTATCACCCCGGTCCCAGTTGGCCCCTTACTTCCCACCTCTAGCCTCCCCCTCTGGTTCTTCTATACTCTGCACTGGCTACCAGGAAGGTTTTTGTAAAAATGTAACGTTTTTACAAGCCATTTCCCCGCTGTTTGCTGTCAGCAAGAAACAGGTTTTATTATCATTCACGGGTCAGATGTGTCCATTTACAGCACCACGACTATTAAGCATGTCAATTTTTCGTACTAAAAATATTAAAAACATGAACTCATTTTATCCACATATTAAATATATGGATTTAGGGGCGCCCGGGTGGCTCAGTCGGTTAAGCGGCCGACTTCGGCTCAGGTCACGATCTCGCGGTCCGTGGGTTCGAGCCCCACGTCGGGCTCTGTGCTGACGGCTCGGAGCCTGGAGCCTGATTCTGATTCTGTGTCTCCCTCTCTCTCTGCCCCTCCCCTGCTCATGCTCTGTCTCTCTCTCTCTCAAAAATAAATAAAACATTAAAAAATTTAAATATGTGGAATTATATTATGAATGTATTAAATATATTGATTTGTTTAAATATATCGAATATAATAATTTATGTTAACGGTATTTTAATTTTACTAAAATATATTGATGACAATATATTATATTAATTCTAGCAATGACATGTCCATTTTTAAAAATAAACTTTTTTTTAAGTTTATTTATTTATTTCGAAAGAGAGAGAGAGAGTCAGGTAGGGGCAGAGAGAGAGGAGGAAAGAGAACCCCAGGCAGCCTCCATGCTTTCAGTGCAGAGCCCCCCATTCAGGGCTCAAACCCACGAGCCGAGATCGTGACCTGAGCTGAGATCAAGGGTCGGACACTTAACCAACTGAGCCATGCAGGCGCCCCTTGAAAATAAACTTTTAATATGGGTGTAATTTTAGATTTTCAGGAAAATTACAGTGTTATAAAGCTACAAAAATAGTACAGAGTCTCTGCATGTTCTTCACACAGATAAGTTAACATCTTATGTGACCACAGTACATTTGCAGGAACTAAGAAGTTAACATCGGTACATGACGATTAGCTAGTCTCCAGACTTTATGTAGATTTCCTCAGTTTTCCCATCAATGTTTTTCTGTCCCAGGATCCCGTCCAGGGACACGTGTCACATGTCAGTTTCCTCTGGACTGTGACAGTTTCTCAGCCTTTCCTTGTTTTTGATGACTTTGACCATTGTGAGGAGCGCTGGCCACATCTTTTGCAGAATGCCCCTCAATCTGGGCTTGTCTGGTGTTTTCTTGTGGTTAGACGGGGGCTATCGGTTTCTGGAAGGAAACCTATCCCCCTATCCCATCATATCAGGGGTACCTGACGCCCACCTGACATCACAGGTGATGCTAACCTGATACTTTAGTTAAGACTAGCAATGACGTATCAATTTTGAATACGCCATTTATGTGAATAATAATGTTAATGGCTACTGTTTATTGAGCACTTACTGTGTGGCTATCGCTTACTTTATGACTCAAAGACAAATACACTAATTGCTTTCATAGAGATATCTGCCATTGGGACTGTAATCAGCGTCTGGGGTCTCTGCTTCGGGGTGGGCCCGGACTTGCGGTTCAGCCTTGTCCTTTCCCAGCTGTATTGACTTCTAGCAGGTTCGCAGCCTCAGTTTCCTCATCTGTAAAATGGAACTAGTCAGAGGTAGTACATTACAGAGCTGTGGTGGGGATCTTGTCCCCTGGTCTCACCCCAGCCATGATCTCATTCAGTCAAACCTAGCCCATTAAGAATTTCCACTTGAGCGGTGGGTGCCTGGGTGGCTCAGTCGGTTAAGCGTCCAACTCTCGGTTTTCAGCTCAGGTCATGATCTCGTAGCTCGTGAGAGGGAGCCCTGCATCTGGCTCTGTGCTCACAGCTCAGAGCCTGCTTGGGATTCTCTCTCTCCCTCTCTCTCTTCCTTTCCCCCCACTTGTGCTCTCCCTCCCTTCAAAATAAATAAACATTAAAAAAAATTTTCTAAGGAATCTCCGCTTGAAAGAATAAATAGAAACTCCTTGAAAGTAGCAGAAAGCACAAATGCATGTTCGCGCCAGCGTCTTCCCAGCATATTTCCAGGCACCTTGCGCAGCTTTCCTCTTTCCATCTTTTTTATTTTGAAGTAGAGAGCCACAGGAAGTTGCAAAAAAAAAAAAAAAGCAGGAAGTAGAGCCCTGGATCCTTTACCCAGTTTCCCCCAAAGTTAACACCTTGCAAAACTAGGGTACAATATGACGACCAAGAAGTGGACATTTTGACAACCAGAAAAAGCATCACTTTTACGGACGTGCATTTATGCGTGTGCACGTGTGCACATGTCTTTTGTCCTAAGAAATTGTATCACCTGTGTAGCTTTGAGTACCTGCCCCAGTCAATACGCAGGACTGTTTCCTCCCTCTAGTGCAAAGGTCCCTCCCACTACCCTTTGATTTATTGTTACTTGTTTAAGCTGATTTATTAGTTTTTAAGTGTTTATTTATTTATTTATTTTTCAACGTTTATTTATTTTTGGGACAGAGAGAGACAGAGCATGAATGGGGGAGGGGCAGACAGAGAGGGAGACACAGAATCGGAAACAGGCTCCAGGCTCTGAGCCATCAGCCCAGAGCCCGACGCGGGGCTCGAACTCACGGAGCGCGAGATCGTGACCTGGCTGAAGTCGGACGCTTAACCGACTGCGCCACCCAGGCGCCCCAAGTGTTTATTTATTTTTGAGAGAGAGACAGAGACAGAGACAGAGAGAGAGGGAGACGCAGAATCCGAAGCAGGCTCCTGGCTCTGAGCTGTCGGCACGGAGATGACGCGGGGCTCGAACTCATGAGCCGTGAGATCGTGACCCACGCCGAAATCGAGAGTCGGACTCTCACCCGACTGAGCCACCCGTCTCCGCCACTACCCCTTCTAGAATCACACTCGCCCCTCCCCTCAACCCCCAGCCCCTGGCAACCGCTAATCCATCTCTCTCTCTATAATTGGTCACTTCCTCGGTGTTACAGAATGGGATCACAGAGTCCACAGCCTGTTGAGATTGGCTTTGTTGCTTTAGCGTAAGGTGCCCCGCTTTCCAATTATTTCATAGAAATTCCTGACAACAGCCTCATCAAGGGTAAGCTAGTGCATCCATGTTACAGGAGAGATGCCGTGAGTTGACCAAGGTCACACAGCCCACAGGTGGCAGAGCAGACGGTCTGGGATTGACTCCTGCTGAAATGTGTCCCGGAAGGATCCCATTTCTGGACTGGTAGTTGCCTTTGCCCCTGACCTCCATTCACAGGGCTGAGGGGAGAGGGGAGTGGTGTCCCTCCAAGGAGGACTTTTGAGTGGCTCTTGTCTCTCTGGCTCTGAGACTGCGTCCTGTCTCCAAGGGCCTGACTCACTCAGCTGCAGAGACCTGGGAGCCTCTGCTGAGCCCAAGGCGGCTTAAAAAATAACTCCTCGGGTCTGGGTGCAGTTTCAAAACAACGGCCTCCAGGGAGAAATCAGTGTCTGCTCTTGGCTCTGGAAAATACGGGTCCTGGGGCAGCTGCTGCGAGCTCTGGGACCGGGGTCGGCAAACCATGGCCCAAAGGCAAAATTTGGCCCGCCCACTTGTTTTTGTAAATAAAGTTTTATTGGAACACACTCAACTTAGTTTCTGCATGTCGTCGTGGCTGTTTTCACATTACAACAGCAGAGCTGAATCGTCGCAGCAGAGGCCATCCGACCTGTGAAGCCTAAAATATTTACTCTCTGACCCTTTACAGGAAAGCATGCTGACCTTTGCTCTCAGCCTCCCGGCTCATGAACAACTTTCTCCCTGGCTTTGCAGCAGCTTTCTGAAGCCTCAAATGCCCTGCCTGCCCCTCTCGGCCCAGGATAGACAGATATTCTCATTTGTCAGTCTATCCGTTACGTGTCCATTTTTTCACTAAGATTGGAATACCACTCCACAAAGGCAACGGAGACCTTTATGCATTTTCCTCACTGCGAGACGCCCCGGCATGGAGAGTAGAGGCTGACACAAGTAGGAGCTCCCTGAATGTTTGTTGAATGAATGTGTGATGGAGGCACCCACAACTGACAACATTGGATTCTTTTGATTGACGTGAAAGTCACGTAGCACGAAATTAACCATTTTAAAGTGAACAATTCAGTGCCTTCATAATATTGTGCAAGCACTACCTCTGTCTAGTTCCAGAACATTTCCATCACCCCCAAAGAAACTCCGTATTCAGTAACGATCACTCGCTATCCCCTTCCCCCAGCCCCCCGGCAACCACCAGTCTGCCTTCTGTCTCCAGGATTTGTCTGTTCTGGACGTGTCATATAAATGGGATTACACAACAGGTGGCCTTTTGCGTCTGGCTTCTGTCGCTCAACACGATGTTTTCAAGGTTCATCCGAATCAGTGGTTCATTCCTTTCCATGGCTGAGTAAGAGTCAATTGTATGGATGGATCACGCTCTGTTTATCCATTCATCAATTTGACGGGCCCTTGGGTGGTTTCCACCTTTTGGCCACTGTGAATCATATTGCTGTGAGCACGGGTGTACATGTGCCTGTTTGTCTGTGTTTTCAGCTCTTTTGGGTCTCTTTGTAAGAGTGGGATTCCTACAGAAACCCCATATTTAACTTTTTGAGTTTGATGGTATTGTTTTATAGTCGGGCCACTTGTCACATACGATCTCTGTGCTGCCTACACCAAGGTTTCTTTGATTAATAATGACTAAATCAGGGGCACCTGAGTGGCTCAGTCGGTTAAGTGTCTGACTTCAGCTCAGGTCACGATCTCACGGTTTGTGAGTTTGAGCCCCACATCGGGCTCTGTGCTGACGGCTCGGAGCCTGGAGCCTGCTTCCGATTCTGTGTCTCCCTCTCTCTGCCCCTCCCCTGCTCATGCCCTCTCTCTCTCTCTCAAAAATAAATAAACAACAACAAAAAAAATAATGACTAAATCAGCACTATTCTTGGTGCGAGCCCCGGACCAGCAGTCTTAGCATCACCTGGGAGCTTTTTGGAAATGTGAGCTCGTGGGCCCCACCTGAACCTGCTGAATCAGAACTTCTGGAGGCAGACCCCAGCCGTATGGGTTTTTTGAGCCCCCGGGAGACTTTGGCAAACTGGAGTCCTCTGGCCAAATTTGGCCCACTGCTTGTTTTTGTAAATAAAGTTTTATTGGAACACATTCGAGGGCATTCGTAACCATATTATCTATGGTTACGCCAGGTGACTCCGGCACACGTTAAGTGTGAGAATCAATATCCGTACCCCCTGAATATGTCTCTCAAGTGTCCCCACTCAGGCCAGCTGATCACACAATGATGACCATGCTCTCTTCCCATCTCCCCCACTTTTTCAGTCATCGAGTGGGAGATAGACCGGGGCCTGTTGAGCTTGACGGATGGAGACCGGGGGGCAACCATCTTCTTGAGAGAGATCCAAGACCTCAACAAACACATCCTGGAAGACTGCGCCCTCAAGATGGTGGACCGGCTCCCAGATGGCTGCCTGGACACAGACGCCCAGAACCTTCTCCGTGGCCTCAAAGGACGCATTGCCGACGTGCAACCCGGAGTTCTCAGGGCTCACCACCTGCCGTGGAGCCGAGACCTGGTGAACCCTAAAAACAAGGCTCATGCTCGGTACCTGAAGGAGCTGGGGGAGCAGTTTGTGGCCAGGGCTAGCCACCAGGTCCTGGAGCACCTCCGGGAGCTGGAGGCGGGCAGGCAGGAGTTGGCGTGGCTCTATCAGGAGATCCGCCACCACCTGGGGCTGAGTGCCGAGGCCAATCGGACTTTCTGTGGGCGCCAGGAGCTCCTGGCCCAGCTGGGGCAGCGGCTCCAGCAGAGCGACAGCCACCCCCACTCTCCCCTGGTGCTCTTTGGGCCCCCAGGCATCGGAAAGACAGCTCTGATGTGCAAACTGGCGGAACAAATGCCAGGCCTGCTTGGCCGCAAGACGGTGACCGTCCTGCGGCTTCTGGGAGCGTCACAGATGAGCTCCGACGCCCGAGGCCTGCTCCAGAGCATCTGCGCCCAGGTGTGCCTGGCCTACGGGTTGCCCCTGCCCCCTGCCCAGGTCCTGGAGGCCCACGCCAGGGTGGTGCAGTTTTTCCACACCCTCCTCCACACCGTCTCCTGCCGCAACTTCGAGTCCCTTGTGATCCTGTTGGATTCCATGGACGATGTGGATTCCATCTGCCGCGCCCGGAGGGTCCCCTGGCTGCCTCCCAAATGCCCCCCGAGGATCCACCTTATCCTCTCAGCCTGCTCAGGGCAGCAGGGGATTCTAGACACCGTGCGACAGACGCTGACGGACCCGGAGGCCTACTGGGAGGTGAAACCCCTCTCCGGAAACCAAGGGCAAGAGATGATCCAGCTCCTGCTGGCCGCCTCGAGGAGGACGCTGAGCCCAGGGCAGAGGGAACTGCTCTGGGCCAGCCTCCCAGAGTGCGGGCACCCAGGGCGGCTGAGGCTGGCCTTCGAGGAGGCCCGGAAATGGGCCTCCTTCACCATACCTGCCCCCCTGGCCTCCACTGCCAAGGAAGCCATGCACCAACTGTGTGCCCGTCTGGAGCAGACACACGGGCAGGTCCTGGTGGCCCACGTGCTGGGCTACATCGCGTCTTCCCGGTAAGTCTCTGTTGTTTACACCTTTGTTTAGTTATTGACACAGAATGCATGGCTTCTGATGGCTTAGAGCAGAGATTTGCTCCCTCACAGTTCCGGAGGCCAGAGTGTGAAGTCCAGGCGTCAGCAGGGCCGCGCTCCCTCTGAGGGCGCCAGGGGAGAATCTGTTCTGGGCTCTCCTCTTAGTTCCTGGTGTTGCCAGCAACCCGTGGCCTGTAGACGCATCGTGCCAACCTCTGCCTCCGCCTTCTCAGGCCTCCTCCCTGGGTGTCTTTCTGTGTGACTTTTCCTCTTCCTGTAAGGACACCACTCACGGGCTCAGGGCCCACTCTGATCTCGTATGACTGCACTGTATGTTCATTCCTTCTCTACAGACTGTTTTCAAATAAGGTCCCGTTCACGGGCTCTAGGTGGGCATGAACTTGGGGATACTATTCAACCCAGCGCAATTCATGTATTAAAATGTTCACAGGTTTTTGGGTTTTTTTTTAAGTTTATTTATTTTGAGAGAGAGAGAGAGAGAGAGAGAGAAAGAGCATATGCATACACACGAGTGAGGGAGGGAGGGGCAGAGAGAAAGAGGGAAAGAGAGAATCCCAAGCAAGCTCTGTGCTGCCAGCATAGACCCCAATGTGGGGCTCGAACTCACCAACTGTGAGATCATGACTTGAGCCGAAACCAAGAGTCGGACACTCAACCGACGGAGCCACTGAGGGGCCCCTGAAGTTCACTCTTGTAACGTGTACAAGAGTCCAGTGGCATTTAGGACATTCACAGTGTGGTGCAACCACTATCCATCTCCAGAACATTCCCACCACCCCAAAGGGAAACCCCACCCCCATTAGCAGTCACTCCCCAGCCCCAGCCCCTGGCAGCCACCTACCTGCTTCCTGTCTCCATGGATCTGCCTATGGTATTTCTTTTGTACAGTTTTTACTTTGAAATACGTTGAAATTATAGACTAGTAGAGGAATTCCCGTAGTACAAAACAGTGCAAAAAATGCCCACACATCAGGGTTTCTCAGTCTTGGCACTGCTGATATTTGGGGCTGCATCATCGGTATGTGGGGGCCATCCTATACACCATAGGAAGCTGCGCAGCATTCCTGGCCTTGACCTTGGATACTAGTAGTGCCCCCCAGCTGTGACAACCAAAAATGTCTCAGAGTATTGCCAAGAGTCCCCTGCAGGCAGAATAGGCCCTACTTGAGAACTACTGCTGTATGCCCTTCACCCAGAATCACAGATTTGCCACATCAGCTTTCTCTCTCCCTGTCTCCCTTCCTCTCTTCCTCTAGCTTACTATCTATCTATCATCTATCTATCTGTCCATGTGTCTATCTGTCCATGTGTCTCTCTATCTATCTATCTATCTATCTATCTATCATCTATCTATCCGTCCATGTGTCTATCCGTCCATGTGTCTATCTGTCCGTGTGTCTATCTATCTATCTATCTATCTATCTATCTATCTATCTATCTAGCCGTCCATGCGTCTATCTATCTATCTAGCCGTCCATGTGTCTATCTATCTATCTATCTATCTATCTATCTATCTATCTATCTATCCATGTGTCTATCTATCCATCCGTCCATGTGTCTATCTATCCATCCATATGTCTATCTATCTATCTATCATCTATCTATCTGTCCATGAGTCTATCTATCCATCCATGTATCTATCTATCTATCATCTATCTATCCGTCCATGTGTCTGTCTATCTATCCATCCATGTATCTATCTATCCATGCAATGCATCTATCTATCTATCTATCCATCCATCCGTCCATGCGTCTATCTATCTATCATCTATCTATCCGTCCATGTGTCTATCTATCTATCATCTATCTATCCGTCCATGTGTCTGTCTATCTGTCTGTCCATGTGTCTATCTATCTGTCTGTGTGTCTGTCTATCTATCTATCTATCTATCTATCTATCTATCTATCTATCCATCTGTGTATCTATCTATCTATCTATCTATCTATCTATCTATCCGTCCATGCGTCTATCTATCTATCTATCTATCTATCCATCCATGTGTCTATCTATCTATCTATCTATCTATCTATCTATCTATCTATCTCAGTATCTAACTCAGTATCTATCTCCATATCTATCTATCTCTGTATCTATCTATCTACACACATATAAACCCACACGCACACAGAGTTTTTTCCCTGAGCCATTTGAGAATTCATTACAGGCATAATATCCCTTTACCCTTAAATATTTCACGTATTTCTTAAGAACAAGGACAGCCAGAACCCCACGTCACCACAGGACAAGTACAAGATTCAGGAAGTGTATCATAGATGCAATTATATTATTTAATACACAGTTTATAATGAAAATTTGCCAACTGTCTAAAAAATGTCCTCTATAGCTCCCCCCCCCCAACTTGTCCCCAATCCAGGATCCCAACCAGGATCCTGTGTCACACTTAGTCATCAAGATTCTTTGGTCTCCTTTAATTTGGGACATTCCACCATCAGTCTTTGTCCTTTTGAAGAGTCCAGGTCAGTAGTTTTGTAGATCAGCGCTCCTCCACCCTCAACGGGGGATAGGCACCTCGGTCCTTGTTTTCACAGAAAGAATTTGATTCAGCAGGTCTGGGGTGGGGCCTGGAATCCTGTGTTTCTCCCTGGCGACGCTGAAGCTGCTGGTCCCGGGACCACACCTGAGCTGGGGCAGTTTGTAGCGTGTTCCTCCACCTGGCTTGGTCTGATGTTTCCTCGTGATTACATTCAGGTCCAACCTGAGAGATACTCAGCCCTTCTTGGGCACGGATTATCTTCCCCATTGTAAATTTGCAAGCTCCTCTCTGTATTTAATAAGCAATACATGGGGAGATCTCCGAAAGACCTTTTTACAGCCCAATGCTCTGAGGGATTGACTACCAGCACGCATCTACCCTTAATTCCAAGCTTGTGGCATGGGAATCCACAAGGAAGCAAAGAGGAAAATCCAATTCAGTGTGTTTGTAGAGTTTGAAGGACAGAATGCTTAAAGGCGGAAAGTCTCAGGGCTGCACGCTGTGATGTCATGATGGCCAAGAGCAGGACAGAGGAGTAGGTCTGTCACACGCACCCAGCAGCCAGACTCCAGCCCCCAGGAGAGTAGAACAGAGGCCAGCTGGCAGACACACAAGCAGAAAGCTTTGCCTTGATGCAAACGGCCGTCGGAAACACTCAAGCCCACCGTCAGAGGTGCCGGACAGAGAGGTCTCCCCTCTTCAGTTTCCTGGGCGATTTTTTCTTCTAGACCTTTGTTTGCCCTTTGCCCCAAATCAGTCAAGATGGCAGTGATCAGACCAGTGAGGGTCTGTTTGTTTCTTTTCCAGGCACAGAATCCCACTCTTGCTAGTGTGTAAGAAATAGGGCTTTATAAGGCCACGGGAAGAGCTCAGGGAATCCAGGGCCACCCAATTTCCAACTCCAGTGGGGCAAATCCCAGCTTTCATGTCACACCCCAGATTTTGTGACTGGTGCTTGCCACCCTCCCCCCCCCACCAAGAGAGTGGAGGCTGGGCCTGCTTCTATAAGAGTACAAAGACAGACTGGGGAATGTTCCAGAAATAAGTGGTGGGCCACCAGGCCAACCTGACACAGCAGTCTACACGGAGGAGGTGGGTTGTCATGGGAACCAGAAAGCCGTGAGAGACAGAACGGACCTCTGGGTCTTCTCTGCCCATTGGCTTCTGTTCTGGACTCTTCCTTTGTCCTTCCTCCCCCCACCCCGCCCCCACCCCAGAACTTTCGCTTGCCTCAAGCTTCCATTGGCATCATTACCTCCCATCTTAGAGAGCTGGCAGCATCATACTGGCTCCTTCTGGAGTCCTGATTCCAAAATCTGGGGAGACAGAAATAATCGGCCTGCTTGGCCCCACGTCTGGCCTAATTAGCAAAGCCCCGTGGGGTGTAGGACCTGCCATCCCAGGGGCAGGAGGTTTATGGAGGGAGGGTGCCTGCCGGGGCTGTGATTTTGGGACCTCTCACCCCATGAAAACAGGACAGTGTGCTGTGATGGTTGAGAGCCTGGCCCTTGGAGCAGAGCTGAGTCCTTCTAGACCAGTGGAGATTCTGGGGAGATTCTGCCCCCAGGGGACACTGGCCCATGTGCAGGGACATTTCTGGTTGTCATAACTTGGTGGGGGGAGCTACTGGCATCGAGCGAATGGAGACCAGGGATGCCACTCAGCACCCTGCAGTGCACAGGACGGTCCCCACCGCAGACGATGATGGAGCCCCCGGTGTCGGCAGTGACGGGGCGAGAAACCCTGCCTTAGCATGAGAGAGACCCTGTCTGCTATCTGTTTCCATCTGTCTCTCTTTTTTTTAATGTTTTTTTTTTTGAGAGGGAGAAAGAGAGAGCAGGAGAGGGGTAGAGGGAGAGTGAGAGAGAGAATCCCATGCAGGCTCCACGCTGTCAACCCAGAGCCCAGGTGTGTGGACTCCATCCTACCCACCAAGATCAGCCTAAGAAATCAATAGTCAGATGCTCAACTGACTGAGCCACCCAGCTCCCCTCCAGCCACCTATCTATCTTCCTATCTATCTATCTTCCTATCTATCTATCTATCATCTATTTATCATCTCTCGTTCTCTTTTTCTATATATATGTATGTACATATATATAAACTCCTCTCAGAGCACCTGAGTGGCTCAGTCAGCTAAGCATCCGACTCTTGATTTCGTTGGTTTGGGCTCAGGTCATGATCTCGAGGTTTGTGAGTTGGAGCCCCTTGTCAAGCTCTGCGGAGCCTGCTTGGGATTCTCGCTCTCCCTCTCTCTGCCCCTCCCCCACTTGTTCTCTCTCTCCCTCTCTCTCTCTCAAAATAAACAAACTTAAAAACCAATCTCCTCCATCTACCCATCTTCCTCTGTCTCTGTCATGCTACTGGCTTCTAATGGGTGGAGACCAGGGATGCTGCTAAATGTCCCACGGCACACAGAGCAGTACTCACGACAGAGAGTGATCCGACCCCAAATGTCAGCAGTGTGAGGCCGAGACACACGGTGCCTTCCCCACGCCTCCTCTGTACAGCGCCTGGCATCCATTACTCTACCCGTGGCTTTCTGGGTCCTGTTCTAGACGTTTCAAGGAAATGCAATCATAAGATAGGTGGTTTTTTGTGACCGATTTCTTTCCCTTAGGGTTCTGTTTCCAAAGTTCATCTGTGCTGTAGCACGTGCAGGGCTCTGTTTCTTCACGTGGCTGAAGAATATTCTATTGTGTGGATACAACCCTGTCTCAGGGTTGCTGTAACAAAAAATACCATAGAATGGGAGGCTGCTTTTTTAATGTTTATTTATTTATTTTTGAGGAGGGGGAGGAGAGAGAATCCCAAGCAGGCTCCACGCTATCTGCACAGAGCCCGATGCGGGGCTCGAGCCCACAAACCTCAAGATCCTTTAAAAACCAAAGAAATCAAGGGTCGAACGCTCGACTGACTGAGCCACCCAGGCGCCCGTAGAGTTGGGAGGGGCTTCTAAATTTATTTCTTACAGTTCTGGAGGCTGGAGAGTCCAAGGTTAAGGTGCTGGCAGATACGGTGTCTGCTGAGAGCTCTCTCCCTGGTTCATCTTCTGGCTGTGTCCTCACATGGCAAGGGATAAGGGAGCTCTCGGGAGCATTAACCCCGTTCATGGGGTTCCACGTTCATGACCCAATCACCTCCCAAATGCCCTGCTCCCTAATACCGTCACCTTGGGGGATTAGGACCTCAACGTATGGATTTGCCCTAGAGACACATCCCCCGTCCACAGCAACCACATTTTGTTCATCCGCTCGTCCGTTCAAGGATATCTGGACCGTTTCCGCCTTCTGGCTGTCGTGAACCAGGCTGATCTGAACAAGCGTGTGCAAGTTGTGGTTTGAACACCTGTCTGGAGTGAGATTTGAAAACCATAAATCTGATTCCGTTTCTGCCCCGATTAACTCTTCCAAGGACTTCCCCTGGCTTTGAGGAAAGTATCCAAACTCCTTGCCAAGGCCTGCTGGATCTGGCTGCCTTCCACCCACCCCTGCCCCAGATCTCACGCCGGCCCCTTCCCTGCCACCCGACCCCAGCTCCAGTGGCACCTTCTCAGAGGGACCCGCCTGCTCCCAGACCCCACTTACTGCTCTATTTCATGTGACATGGGTTGGGCTATTCTCTTCCTCGCAATCAGTGTTACCCAACCTCTCTGTGCTCTTTTCCTGTTATTTCCCACCTGGCTCTGGGAATGAGAAGACGAGCCATCCAACTCGAGGCTGAAAGGAGGGGACCCAAGCTTGATTTGTACTGAGGGTGTGTCAAAGAATGGGAAAGAAGCTTCTACCCTGAAGGAGGGGGTTTTCAGGAGGAGCCACAGGAGGGGTGCTATCAAGCGGACGGCCCCTCCCCCCCCCCCAACCCCCGGTGTGGCTCCCAGGAATTCTGGTTTGGGGAAAACTGTCAAGAGAAGAAAGCAGGTTGGGGGGGAGGGGGTGGCATGGCTTCACCTGCAGGGGGAGTGTGGAGTCGAGCCCCAGGGACATTACAGCTGTGATCGTCAAAGATGATTGTGCTCGCAGAAGAGAGCCCAGGGGACGCCTCACCTTGTCGTATACTAGAGAACGCTACGTGAGCAGGTGTCTATACATATGAAGAATGTGGCAGGTGTTCTGATCGAAAGGAAGGCTTCGGGGCGCCTGGGGGGCTCAGTCGGTTGAGCATGCGACTTCGGCTCAGGTGATGATCTCACGGTTCATGAGTTCGAGCCCCGCGTCGGGCTCTGTGCTGACAGCTCAGAGCCTGGAGCCTGCTTGGGATTCTGTGTCTCCCTCTCTCTCTCTGTCCCTCCCCCACTCGTGCTCTGTCTCTCTCTCTCTCAAAAATAAAAATAAACATTACAAAAATTAAAAAAAAAAGAGAGAGCCAGGAAGACTTCCGATCCACATCAGAGAACTAAACCCACACTCACACACGAGGTGTGTGTACCCCACAAGGTGCACCCAGAAGCCAGCCTGCCTCTTTCCCTTGCTCTAAGGGGAACCCTGTTGCCCTCCCAGAAGAAGCGTGCAGGCCAATCTCCAGCTCTTCCGGCCTGATGCTCTCAGGCGTCGGGAAGTCCTTCGGGTCCAGCACCAAAACTCCATCACCCACCCCCTTTAGGGCCGCTTCCTTCCTCTTGCTCTTCCTTTCTCGGGCCAGGAAACACAGGCAAGGCTGGCGTGGACACATTTGATGCCTGCGTTGCCTTTCTAAATCACCTGCTGTCTCCCTCCCTATGCTGCCTGACTCGTCTGAGGCTGGAGAGAGCCTGGTCCGTGGCTCTGTTAGGTGTGTGTGCAGAAGGAAAGGTCAGGAAGGTCTTCTGCGATGGGCACGGCTGTACCCGGGCACCGGTACCTGCTAGGCACCATCCAAATGCCGTCCCTCAGAGCGAACCTTTTGGGGACGGGCAGGATGTTGTGCAGACAGCTGGCCACGTCTCTCTCCCTCTCTGGGCTGCTGTGTCCCCCCAGCCACAGGAGACAGCGTGTTCCACTGCCCGTCCCTCCTCCCCGCAGGCATGGGCTCTCAGAGGCAGAGCTGAAGGACGTCCTGTCCTTGGATGACGAGGTCCTGCAGGTGGTCTACCGGGACTGGACCCCGCCCAGCAAGGAGCTGCTGCGTTTTCCACCGCTGCTCTGGGTGAGGCTTCGCCGGGATCTGGGCCACTGCTTGGCCCGGCGGCCCGTGGACGGCTTCACGCTCCTGGCCATTGCCCACAGGTGGGTCCAGCGTGGCAGTAGCGCTCTCTGGGTGCCCGAGAGCGAGGACTCGTGCCTCGGGCTCCTCCTTGTTCCAGATCCTTCTTCTAACCCCGGTCCCAGCGAACCAGCGCAGCATTCAAGGGTTTCCACATCACCGACTCGGACACAACTAAGTTGTTTTTGAAACTGAGGATCGGGTCACATAACACAAAATTCACCATTTTCAAGGGTACAAATTCAGTAACATTTAGTGCATCCACAATGTTGGGTAACCAGCCTCTCTAAACAGTTCCAGAACAATTCCATCCGCCCCCCCAAAGGACACCTCGTTCCCATCAGCAGTCACTCCCTACTCCCCCAGCTCCTAGAACCTGCTAATCTGCTTTCTGTCTCCATGGATTTGCCTGATCTGGACATTTCATATACATGCTGTGGGATCAGACAGCATGTATACAGAAGGCGGGATGTCCCCTTAGCCTCTGAGCATGACTGGGGGTGGGGGGGACAGCAGATGAGGAATATGCCCCCCCAACCCCAACATTCCAGAGTGGGGGGGAAAAGAACACAATATTCAGGAGCATATGAGAACGGCCCTGAACTCCTAGCCTCTCCCGCCACCGGGCCTTTGCACATGCCATTCCCTTGCCCTGGAATACCGTCGTTTTCTGATACGGTTCACCACACAGACTCCTACTTAACCTCTGAGGCCCAGCCTTTTGTGTCTGGCTTCTTTCCTCAGCATAAAGGTTCGCAGGCTCATTCGTGTTGTAGTGTGAATCGGGGCTTCATTCCTTTTCACGGCTGAGAAATAACCCGTTGCATGGATGGACCACATTTTGTTTATCTGTGTGTCCATTGATGGACACTTGGGTTGTTTCTTGGGACTGTGATCAGTGCTGCCGTGAACATGTGTGCACAAGTGTTTGTTTGAATACCTGCTTTTGCTTCGTTTTTTTGTTTTTTTTTTAATTTTTTTTTAACGTTTATTTATTTTTGAGACAGAGAGAGACAGAGCATGAACGGGGGAGGGTCAGAGAGAGGGAGACACGGAATCTGAAACAGGCTCCAGGCTCTGAGCGGTCAGCACAGAGCCCGATGCGGGGCTCGAACTCACGGAGTGTGAGATCGTGACCTGAGCCGAAGTCGGCCGCTTAACCGACTGAGCCACCCAGGCACCCCGCTTCGTTTTGTTTTTAAGTAGGCTCCACACCAGGCGTGGGGCCCAGCTCAGGGCTTGAACTCGTGACCCTGAGATCAAGACCTGAGCTGAGATCAAGAGCCCGACACCTAACTGACTGAGCCACGCGGGCGCCCCTGAACACCTACTTTTTAATTCTCTTGGTCTATACCTGGGAGTGGAGTTGCTGGGTCAGACAGTACCTTGTTTTATGTTTAACTTATTGAGAAACCCAAATGTTCCTTTTCCAAGTAACTTTATTAAAGGGGAAAGAAGAAAGATGGGCCAATTTATAGATAGATGTTAGGTAACCAATAGGACGGGTGGTCAGCAGAGGCAGTGAGCATCCAGCAGGGGCTCAGGAGGGACCCGCAATTGGGAACAGCCTCCTGGAAGGCAGGTGGCCCCCCTCTGAGCTCACCAATCGCCCAGGCCCAAGAGCCCGTGTCCCCTCTCTGCAGGCAGCTGGCCGAGGTGGTCCAAGAACGCTACCTGTCCGGGGTCGAGAGAGCCAAGAGGCACGGGGTCTTGGCTGACTTCTTCTCAGGGGCCTGGAGCCAGGGCACCAAGAAGCTCGTCACCCTGCCACTCGTGGGGAAGCCCCTGAACCTGGACCGCATGGTGAGGTGTCTGCCTGGGGTCCCTGCTCTCTACCTGCAGTCTCCGCCCTGCTGTGCAGGCAAGGTCAAGGCTGCCTGGCGAGGACCACCCGCTCCTTCCTTCCTTCTTGTCCACCCAGAATGCCATCCTGACCTTCTTCCTTTCCCTCCCCCACAGAAGGCGGGATGTCCCCTCAGCCTCTGAGCATGACCAGGGGGGACAGCAGATGAGGAATATGCCCCCCATTCCATGCCCCAACATTCCAGAGCGGGGGGGGGGGGGGGAAGAATCACAATATTCAAGAGCATATGAGAAAGGCCCTGAACTCCTGGCATCTCCCGCCTCTGGGCCTTTGCACATGCCATTCCCTTGCCCTGGAACACCGTCGTTTTCTGATATGGTTCACCACACAGACCTACTTAACCTCTGAGGCCCAGCTCCGATGTCCCTTGGATTCCCTGAGCCCCGCGTTCCTCCCTCTGCCCTGGCCCTGCCTGTGGTGGGTGTGGGACATCTCTGTCTGGAATTGTGTCCCCGTCCCCTCCAGTGTCACCTGTGCGTGGCTTGGCCCACGTCTGTGGAGCGAACGAATGAGCTTGGGTCGTAGCGGCCTGGTTGTCAGCCCCCTCCTCCTCTGCAGGTGGCCCCTCAGCCCCTGTGGTTCTCAGACACGGTCGCAAATGTGCGGAAGCTGAAGGAGATGCCTCATCACCTGGTCCACTCAGGCCGCCTTGAAACGCTGAAGCAGGAGGTTCTGGGTGAGGGTCGCACCCGTTTCGGAGGGGACTCAGTGGGTCCCAACCTTCTGCTGTGCTCCCGCATACGTCAGAATCCTCGACTCCGCTTAAGACAGTGGTTCTCACCAGGGGTCATTCTGTGCCCCACCACCACCAGCAGGGGACACGTGGCAATGTCCACGGACGTTTTGGTTGTCACAGCTCAGGGAAGGGAGTGCTACTGGCATTGAGTCCCAGCTGATAGGGCAGACGTGAGAAATGTGGTCTTAGAATGAGACCCTGTCTGTCTGTCTGTCTATCATATCATATGACAGATATGATATGATAATCTTTGTATTTAGCCGCCTATCATCCCTCTGCCCACCCACCTTCCTATTTGTCTCTCTATCTATCCTTCTGTTCATCCCCGTGAGTCTCAACCAGGGGTGATTCTGCACCCAGGAGACTTTTGGCAACGTTCGTGTTTTTGATGATCACCCCCGGGGAGGTGCTATGGCATCCGGTGGGTGGAGGCCAGGGGTGCTGGTCAGCCCCGCACAGTGCACGGCCCCACCGCAGAGAATGACGCGGCCCCAAACCTCAGCAGTGTCGAGGCCGTGAACCCCCAGAGAAATGGAGAGGTGAGAACCAGCCTCCAAGTATGAACTAGAAGGAAACATGTGCCCCTACAATACCCCCTCCTCCCTCCCTGCCCACAGGCAGCATGAACTGGATTTCCTGCCGCGGCATCTCTGGAGGCATCGAGAGCCTGTTGGACGACTTTGACCTGTATGCCCCTTACCTGGACTGTCCGGAGGTCGGCCTGGTCCGGGAAGCCCTCCAGCTGTGCCGCCCGGCCCTGGAGCTCCGAGGCATGGGTGAGTTGGCCTGGCGGGGGGGCTTCACTCTGCCCTGACTTCTGGAAGATCATTCTCCTCACCAAGACCCCAGCTGGATTTTCATTAGCCGGCACACCTTTCCTGTCTACGCCTGTGGGGTTTCTAGAATTTAGAATGGAAGCTGGAAGAGCTTTGGAGTGAAGCGTTTTCTAGGAAAAGGGCCAGATAGGAAAAATGTCAGGCAAAAATCGAGGAAATTATGTCAATATTAATATAATAAGAGAGAAAACACGTTCCCCCAACTTTTTTTATTGATAACATTTGAAACAGAATGATAGTAGTTGAACGTGACTTTTTGTAACTCAAGTCTACTCAAGAGAAAGAAGGAGTGGGGTGCCTGGGTGGCTCAGTCGGTGAAGCGTCCGACTTCGGCTCAGGTCATGATCTCACGGTTCGTGGGTTCGAGCCCCACATCGGGCTTGCTGCTGACAGTCAGAAGCTGGAGACGGCCTCGGATTCTGTGTCTCCCTCTCTCTCTGCTCCTCCCCTGCTCACTCTCTCTCTCTCTCTCTCTCTCAAAAATAAACATTAAAAATTAAAAAAAAAAAAGAGAAAGAAGGGGGCAATTTTTGTCCTAGGGGATGACATTTTGCCTAACCGGGGTTCAAAGTCGGTGTTTTAAGCGCACGGCTCAGTGACATCAGGCACTTTCCCACAGGTGGGCAGCCGCCACCACTATACATCTCCAGAACGAGTTCATCTTGCAAAACTGAACCTGTGTCCCCATCAAACACAAACTCCTCATTCCCTTCCCCCAGCCCCGGGCACCCACCATCTACTCTCTGTGAATCTGGCTACCGTAGGGACCTCATCCAAGTGGCCTCAGACAGTCTTGGCCCTTCCATGTCTGGCTTCTTTCACTCGGTGTGATTTCCTCAGCGTTTGTCCATGTTGTAGCAGGCATCAGAATCTCCATCTTTAAAAGGCAGGAAAGCATTGCGTTGGGCCGATGGACCTCATTTCGTTTCTCCATTCCTCCACTGATGGACACTTGGGTCGTTTCTCCTTATTGCCCGTTGTGACGAGTGCTGCTGGGAACACAGGTATACAACTATCTTTTCAAGACCCTGCTTAAAAAAACCCTCTGGAGTAGACACCCAGAAGTACAATTGTCGGATCAGATCGTAATTCGATGTTCATTTTTTCGAGAAACCACCATACGGCAGCTGCACCGTTTTACGTTCCCTCCAGCAAGCAGCGCACGGGGGCTCCGATTTCTCTCTGTCCTCACCAGCCCTTGTCATTTCTGGTTTTTAAAACACTGATAGTCATCCTGATGAGCGTGAGGTGGCCTGGGTGGTTGTTATCGTACAATCCCCACCTGGTTTTGATGTGAGGGTTTTATAAGGAGTTTTATGAAGGTGCTTAAGTCCCTATATCCCTCTGTGGCTCCCTTGGAGCTTAACCAAATGCCCCTCCTGGGAGAAGCCTGTCCAGCCCCCACTGAGCCTGGACACCCTCTAGCCCCTGCATTCTTCACCACTACACCCTTTTTCCATCTGTCTCAGCGCTTTTTTTTTTTTTTAATTTTTATTAGGGAGAGAGAGAGAGAGAGACACGCATGCACAAGGTGGGGAGGGGCAGAAAGAGAAAGAGAACCCCTAGCAGGCTCTATGCCCAGCACGGAGCCCGACATGGGGTTCAATACATGACTCTGGGGTCATGATCTGAGCCGAAATCAAGCCGTATGCTCAACCCACTGAGCCACCCAGGCACCCCTGCCTTGGCTCGTAATTATTATTTCTGTTGGTTTTCTTTTGTATCACCCGTGTGCCAAATTGCCAGCCCTACCACATAGACCAGTCCTGGCCAAGAACACGGATTTTGAGCCCCACTGTGTTAATTCAAATCTGGGCCTTGCCACTTACTGGCAGTGTGACCTTGCAAGTCCCTGACGCTCCCCACCCCACCCCACCTTGCTGTCCTCAGTCTTTCCATCTGCAAAATGGGGATGCTGGTCGACCCTCCTACCTACGGCTGTCCCCATGGGGCCATCCAAGGGGCCCGTTACTGTCATGACAACACCAACCTTGTTGATGTGAATGGCCTTGGATGAGCCATTTCTGCACAGAGCCTCAGTTTCCATCATCTGCAAAATGTGGGATTGGACTAAAGCATGTCTAAGATGCCACCCAAGTGGAAGAGGCCGGTGCCCACCATCATCTTATGCCTTTCTTGTGCATTTTTGCTCACCAGTTGTAAACCTCACAGGGAGTGAGTTGCCAGGAAAAACAGCCTTGGGAACAACTGCCCAGTTTGAGGGAAGATTTAAAAGCCCAAATCACAGCATGTTCTTTGCAGGAATCCTTGATTAACAACCTGTGGCCGGCCCGGCACCAGCGGGTGTAGGAATGAATGTCACCACCAGAGGGCGCAGCCGGCCAACCTTGAGCTCCAGCACATTCCAGGACTTGGAGCCTCCTCCAAAGCCCGCCAGCATTCCCAATTTCTCCTATTGCCTTAGGCTCCAGGATGATTGGGTGTGATGGCGTTTCTGACTCTATTTTTATTTTAAAAGCTGACATTTTGTTCATCATGGGTTTGGGGAGGGCATTAATTTTGATTTTTTAAAACTATTGCATGGAAATAGTATTTATCTTGATGGTTGTGTTTCTTGGTGCCACCTTACATCTTGCACCCATGGTGAGTGGGGCACTTGACCCTGGTCCTGACCTTGCCTCATTCCACCTGCCAGCAAACCAAGGCACAAAGCTTTGTCACCATTGCCCCAAACCCCACAGTTGGGACAAGCCGACAGCAGAGACAATGAACTGCTTGCCTTCAGCGTCCCTGGTCTTCACTCAAGGTTGGAATAAAACTTTTTGGGTCAGATTCCCACCTCCTACTGGCTGTGTGACCTTGTACAAGTTGCTTAACCTCTCTGAGCCTCAATTTCCCCCTTTATGAACTTGGGATAATAATGATGGTATGTCTGTTGGGATAGGCAGAAAGCACTGCCCTCTCCACAGATATATTCGCTTCCTAATCCTTGGAACCTGTGACTCTTGTCTTATGCGGCAAACGATGTGACTAAATTAAGGAATTTGAGATGGAGAGTTTATCCTGGATTATCCAGAAGGGCTCGAAAGGCAATCCCAAATGTCCTTATCAAACGGAAGCAGCCTTGATGGGCCTGTCTGGATTCAGCTTCGTGGTGGCTGTGGGCCCTTTAGCCTTGCTCTACATTTCACTGCTCAAGCTTGCTGCCTAAAAGCGGCCTCTACAACTTATCGGGTGTCTGTGATGTTCTAGGTGCTAAGAACAGAGCAATGAACGAGACAGACCTCATTCCTGTTTCAGGAAACTCAAGCTCTAGGGTAGTGAGGAGAGGCGGGGCCACGAAGAAAGGTTAATTGTAGCTGTGATGAGCTGGGGGGTGGGGCAGGTGGATTAGTGGGTTGGGCTGGAAACGGCTTTTTAAAGAAGTGGCCCTTTAGCTAAAATTAGGAGGTGATTAGCATGAGAAAGGGGGAAGGCCAGTCCAGGCCAAAGGCCCCCCGGAGGCTAAGAACCACCTGGGGCCCTGGAAGTAGGGGTGAGTGTTTGGGGAGAGAGACAGAGGCAGAAGATGGCCCTTCCCCTTAACGTGAGTCCCCTTTGTTGCAGAGAGGAGCATCCTATATACAGAACTCCTGGCCAGACTCCATTTCTTCACGACCTCACATCCGGCGCTGGTGGGACAGCTGTGCCAAGAGGCCCAGAACTGGTTCCGGATGTGCCCACATCCTGTGCTGGTACCCCTCACGGGATTCCTCCAGCCCCCAGGAGGACCCCTCCGGGCAACCCTCACCGGCTGTCACAAGGGTCAGTCTCTGCGACTCTGCAAAAATCCTGCCAGGCCCCCTCATGCCTGAGGGCAGCGGACGGCAGGTGTTTCTGGCTGCTCCCTGGGGCTCTCCTCTGTCAGTATAGGGAGGCCCCCGGGGTGCCATCAGGGCAAGCCCTTGCTGTCTCATGCTGACTCCACTCTCTCTGCCTCCCAGGAACTGTAGATTACTAGTGTAAATACCACTAATGAGCCCAGAGCAAGGAGGTGCTGGCTGCCTCTAAGAATCGAGTGCCCATCTTACAGATAGTTTCTGGGATTTACTGGCTCGTGCTGGTAAGTCCAAAAGCTAGGGATTGTGTCCGACTGGTCCCTGAGAGGCTGGTGGAACTCATGGATTCTCCTGGGACACCAAAATGTCAGAGAAACTAGAGGACTTAGTTCTCTCTATTCATGTGTTATCCCTTGCTTCCCTCCTTCTTTCTGTCTGTCCATCCATCCATCCATCCACACTTCCTTCCTTCCTTCCTTCCTTCCTTCCTTCCTTCCTTCCTTCCTTCCCCTCCTTCCTTCCTTTCTTCCTTCCCTCCACCTGCCAGTCCATTAGCTATCTTTCAGCCCTCTGTCCACACCACTCATCTTTCCATGTCGCTCTGAACATCTTCCATTCACTCACTTACCCCACCACCCATCTGTGCACCCAGCCATTCATCAACCCGCCCACCCATCTATTGGTTGATTCATCTATCTACTCATCTAACATCCACCCATCCACTCACCCACGTATCCAGCCAGCCATCTGGCTATCCGCTCATGCCCCAGTCTACCTCCATTCCTCCACCCCTTTATCTGCCCACCCATAACTTCTTGCATTATTGAAAGGCCAGCAAATACAATTAAGTTGTGGCTCGAATGTCAGTTATTGCAAGTCGGGCCATTTCTGTGCCACATGGCCCTGTAGGGAGAGCTACACTCCCAAGGCATAGTGCTTCCAAAACAGAAGTTCTAAGAGACGAAGTACCATACATGGAGGAACTGATTTAGGGACAGCTGCTAGAATGCTGTGTTCAGAAGGGAATCTGATTTAATGGAGAAGACTATCTTTATTAGGTTACAAGTTCAAATGGCTGTAACAAGGGACAAAATAGCAGTGGCTTAAATAAAAAAGCAGTTCATTTCCTCCCACTCCCACACAACAGTCCAGGCATAAGTAGAGGTAACACTGTGTCTCCAAGGTGTCAGATGTTAGAAATAAGCCCACTGCCCAATCAAAGGAGGGACACGGACTCAGAGCACAGGGAAGCTAGGGTTTAAGCAACCAAGAGCAGGTGTCTGATGGACAGGCACAGTTGGGGCAGTTACAGCAGGCAATTTATCTCCTAGCGTGCAAGTCCCTCCCCTGGTTCCTCATTGGCTGAGCACTACAGAGGCAAGTCCCTCCCC